CAGTATACCAATCGTTGGAAGATGAAGTGGAGGCATGGATTGAGGAGAAAAATAAGAAAGGGCTGCGTGTCAGGGAGCAGTATATTCGAGCGAAGGCACAAACACTTTTCAAGCAACTGAAGGAAAGCGGGGAGGTGGAGCAGAATGTTGAGTTCGGTGTATCCTCAGGGTGGATGGCGAGGTTTAAGAGACGCAAAAATTTGGTGTCTCGCAGGCAAACAACAACAAGGTGTTTGCCTGATGATGCAGCAGATATATGTCGAGCATTCATTGMGGAAGTTCATGATRTTGTCGACAAGTACAAGATTGCACCTGAAAATATTATGAATATGGACCRAGTGYCGCGGTATTTTGAAACCGAGCCATCAAGCACACTCACAAAACGCGGGAGCCGCCAAGTGCTTTTGCGGAAGGGGGGTACATCACACAAGAGGTTCACTGCAACGTTCACAATTTCCCTTGCAGGCGAAATTTTGAARCCACATATCTTATTTTCAAAGCTGAAAAACAAGCYGACAGTACGCRCTTCAGTAAATATTGACGTTAACAACACRGGCATGTGGAGCGAGGAGATACTTGCGACATACCTCAAGGAGACAATTGAGTGCAGGCGTCAGACAGCATTCGAGCGACAACATGTGCTGCTTYTWATTGACAGTTATGGTCCACACCTTAAACTGCGTGACAATCCCAGATTGCAGAGGCAGAATGTGCATGTAATGATCATCCCACCAAACCTGACCAGCCTGCTCCMACCGCTCGATGTTGCGATTAACAGGTCATTCCAACAACACTACAGTCGTAACTATGAAGCCTACATTGCGGCTGCACTTGAGGACACAAGTCTGCAGACCACGGCAGGCAACCCAAGATGTCCTTCATATCAAGTGGTGGCGGACTGGGTCTGCGATTGGGTGAAATCGAAAACAACAGAGGAAGTTGTAAATGCATTCCAATTGTGCGGCCTGGTGCAGAAGGCAGTTTTCAAAGTGGACAAGCTACATGCACCATTGAAGGCCCTCTTCAACTCCCTTTTGGACACGCATGAGTGGAATGCTCTGTACGGGGAAGAGTTCATTGACGCTGTGGAACCTGTGAATCTCAAACTTTTGCAACCCCCAGAGTACTTCATTCCTTTTGATCCCAAAGACGGAGAGCCTTGCAGTTTCTGGCAGTGTCTTCACCGCGCCATTCATGGTTCTCGCGGTGTCATTACATGCAATGAGTTTAGACATACTGTCATAGCTGAGATGACGGGGATGGTTGACCTCGCAGACATCGCAGATGGTGAGTATTTCTCACAATTGCAGAGTGGTGGCAGAGCTGATGAGGACAGGGTGGGCTATGCCGTCAGTCAGTTGGAGAGGTGCACAATCCGCGTGCAGGATGCTGCTGATTCTTCATTCCGGATCATTCAACACGCAACCCAGCATCTGAGATAAACCTCGTGTGTGTGAATGAATTCTGTGTTTTAAAGTTATGAGGGATTTTGCTGAGGCTACTTCAGTATCTGCAATATAGCTTACAGGATACGTCAAAAAATTCAGATTAGAGTTATATATTCCCTTGTTTCCGTTTTCCCCACGCCCGTCACTCTTGTGCGTGAGAAACAAAAAAAACACCTCATTTTACAGATGATGATTTACCTCCCTTTATTTTGTCATTGGCTGTAATGAGTTAGGTGGGCAGAAGGCCTATGCGGAGTAGGAAGATCATGTGGGTGAAGCAGCGGTAAATCCTTCCAAAAGGAAGAAATYAATGCCCTGCCTTTGGATCCCTTGCCCATAACGAAGGGAAGCGTGTGTGAGTGCAAATTTTGTAAGGGACGYTGGACCCGATTTCCAGCCCTCAATATAAAGGATCTTTTTTTTTGCCCATGAAAATGACTTACAATTTTGATAACATTCTCAGGTAAAACTTGTTTGTATTTCAATGTTGTACAATATTCTTTTCTTCGTGGATTTTTTGAAGCTTTTGAAAAAATCTAGATAATGGCAAAGGCACCGCAAAACCCCCAACAAAACTACCTGGGCACTCGGTTGATCTCCATGGTAGGAGGGGAGCAGAATGGGGGATCGGTGGGGCTCCATGGTAGGAGGGGAGCAGAATGGGGGATCAGTGGGGCTGGAACGAAAGTTAACTTTCGCTCCTCTTCTTAAAGGTACTCAAGGTTTTAATCCAAGGCAGGTGGTCCCCTGCCCTGGAGTCTGCATGTTGTTATGTATGTTGAATTTTTCATGAGGGGGCTGGTTCCCTCAAGGGCTCTGTCCCCATGAGCGAAACTGGGTAATGCTCCCAGCAAGTTCACTCCCAGGTAGACTGAGGATCCCAGCCTCATCTCTTTGATTGGAAAGATATGCTGATTTCGGCTCCCCATGAGCGAAACTGGGTAATGCTCCCAGCAAGTTCACTCCCAGGTAGACTGAGGATCCCAGCCTCATCTCTTTGATTGGAAAGATATGCTGATTTCGGCCAAAAAAAAAAAAAAAAAAAAAAAAAA